TTTTCTAAATTGAAGAATTCCTACCACTTGTCTACAACCCTTTCCGCTTTGATATTTAAAGAAAAATCGGTCACTGTTCATATTTTCTGGTCTTAACGGAACATACTTTCGATAAACATTCAAGTAGATCTGATTAATTACAAATGATCTTGGTTTGTTGGTTTTCGAATCAGGTATGCTGATTAAAAGCTTAGATTCTAAGTCTTCTATATCGTGTACAGTCATTCGGACTAACTCATCCATTCTACAGGCCCCAGAAATACCAAATATTACAGCCACCTAAAAAATAAATAAAGCTATTATCTAAATAGAAATTAAAACCTTGTAAATTACCTTAATCATTAAATTTTCTTTATCTGGAGCTTCCTGGATAAATTTTTCAATTTCTTCCTTCGTTAAAATCTTAGATTTCTTTGCCCTATAACCTTGAGCTTGCCGTTTCAATAAAGAACGAAGTTTTGAGTATGTAGATATATCTATATTGTGTTTAAGTGCAAGGGTTGACTTCAGCATTGAATAATTGGCCCATAATGTTGGATTTCATCTTTAAACAAAGGTCTAGGAAGTATGCCATTACAACATTTTCTGAGAAAGAACTCGTATTTTTACTCATGCGATAATCCATAAAACGTCTGTATGCATTTTCGTACTTTTCTCTTGATTTCTTTGGCAATAATTCTAATGAAGCAGTATTCACTGCCTCAACCAGCTCTGGAGGAGTCCCAGGAATGGAAATTTCATCATCACTTATCATTTTACTTTCGAGAACACCAGCAATTAAATTTATAAGCGTCAAGTTTGACAATTCAACCTCAATACGTTTCCATAGTAACCCAAGTAATTTTATTAGGAATTTCAAAGCACCATTTATTTGGGAATAAAATTATCGCGTTTTTTTTAAATCAATCAATATCTGTCGAATTTTAAACGATTTGCGGAAAAATAGTATGTTTACCTCGTAGGAAAAGCCACATTCCTGGACTCTGTGTTGCTAAGTTTTGGCTTGCGCCTCGACTTAGCAATCTTCACAGTCGTCCAGGAATGTTAAGCTTTTCCTATCCGGTAAACAATGTACTATTTTTCTTCAAACGTCAAATAATGATGACATTCCTTATCTAACTTGATCCTGTCAAAGTTTAATGTCTCCGCCGGCAGCAGTTTTTTTTCCCATTTCTTTACGGCGCCGGCGGAGCGAAAAATGTTGTCATGGCAAAAATATGAAACATGTCACAAAGCAACAATACAAATGCCATTAACAACAATTAAACATCAAAACATTAAAAACAAAAACATAAATTTCAAGTTTTGCTGACCAAAAGACGTCTACGATCCAAGAAATACAAGAAGGGACTCCTCAGGGCAGTATTCTCTCGCTATTTTATACAACATTTTTGTTTCAGATTTATTAACAGGTCCAAGAACAACTACAGCTCCCTATGACACGGCGATATATGCAACAGGAAAGGAAAATAGAAGAATAGTCCAAAACATAAAAAAACACCTCGGAAAAATCACGAAATACACCGAAAAATGGAAGATCAAAATCAACGCCGATAAGACACAATTCATCATGTTCACCCAAGAGACGAGGCCACCAGTGGTAGAAATAACAGTAGGAGAAAACAGGATCCAGTCAGAAGATTCAGTCAAATACCTAGGAGTCCACCTCGTCAGGAAACTTAACTTCAAGAAAAACACTCAATAGATCAAGGTAATAGCAAACGCTGCTAAAAAACTAATACTTCCGTATATTTTTAGGTCCGGTGCACTATATCTACTAAGTCCAGTTATACCAGGCCTACGTTAGATCGGTAATGCTGTACGCTGTCTCAGTTTGTAGCTCCATTTCGGGGTCCAACTGGAAGAAACTTGAAGCAACAGAGACGTCATGTTACAGTTTCACCGATGGATCAACATGGGACGAACAGATTTCAAATGCAACCATCAAAGAAAGGCTCCAGTATACACCACTGAGGGCGGTGGCTGAGAAAAGGACAAGGTATTTCTTCCACCAAGCCACAAGAAGACTCTTTAAGACCAGAGACATCCTCGCCAAGAATCGGATCCAGAGGATGTTTAGATCGACTCATAGACTGATAGACCACATGATCATTGTCTAGCCGGGTAGTTGCCGAAGACAGTCAATCAGGAAAGTAGGTACGATATCAAAAACAAGTACCTACAGAAAAAGAAGCCAACGAGAGAAAAAGTCAAGGTCCGAGAGGAAGAAAATCGGCAGTAGGCGGTGCAACAGTGGGACGTTAAGAAAGCAGGCTATGATATCTAAAGTTTTGAAATATCTTAGGTGTGAAATCACTTGAACTTCGTTGATTATGAAAAGGCATTAGACTCCATAAAACTTTGGGCAATAGAGGAACAACTGCAGGATAGACTGATACAGAATGCTCATACATAATATTTACAAGAAAGCTACAAGGAAAATACAAATAGATGCGAAAACCAAAGCTATACCAATCAACATAGAAGTTCGGCAGGGAGATGTTATCTCACCAAAGCTATTCACACTTGGACTAGAAGACGTGTTCAAAGACATTAACTGTGTAATGTTAATAAATGTTAATGGAAGAAAACTGAGTTATTTGAGATACGCTAATGACATTGTTATATTCGCTAGAGGTGTCGAAGAACTACAGACCATGATGACGCAACTATTTCAAGCTTCGGAAAAAGTAGGTCTTAAGATAAACTTGGAAAAAACAAAAATAATAGCAAATACACCAAACATTGGAGAAATAACGTTGAACGACATAAATTTAGAAACAGTAAGCGAATTGATCTAGAATCTACCTGAACACATAATGAAAGTTAACAAAAAAATCAAACTGCCAAAATTACCAGACGAATAAGGTTAGCATGGGCAGGATTTGGAAAACTGGACGTGGACACTCACCAAGTCCAATATGGATAAAATAGTAAAAGCACAAAGAGCGATGGAAAGATCAATGGTCGGGGTGAGACTTATAGACAAAAAAAAAACAAAAAATGGATTAGAAGCAAAACCAAAGTAAAAGACGCATGAGAACATGCTGCCAAATTAAAATGAAGCTTCGCAGGACATAATGCCCAACTAAAGGATAAAAGATGGAACCAGGAAATACAACAATAGAGACCATGGTTAGAAAAGAGAAGCAGAGAAAGACCACAAGTGAGATGGGCTGATGAGATTAAGAAAATCGAAGGACACAACGGAAGCAAGTGGCGCAAAATAGAAAACATTGGATTGATTTGGGGGAGGCCTATGTCCAAAGTTGAATTACTTAAGGCTGAAGAAGAAGAAAGGTGTGAAATGTTAATATTATTAATTTTTATTTTTTAGTTTTATTTTGATTTTCTTTAACTGTATTGTGAACCTTTCCTGCATGATGTATACTTTTAACATTTCAAGTCTCTTCTTTGAAAGGTTTTCGCATGTTGGCGACCGTTTTCCGAGTTTCATGATCAGTAGAGTATTTGGTTATGTTTGTGTTAATCATAATGATTATTGAACATATATATCATAACGATTTGAAGAAATTAAAAAATACTATTCGGTTTTTTTATATTACAAAGTTATTCCTAGACATTTCCAATATGTAGAAGTAAAGAATACAGACACCTATTCAGTGTTGTTTTGTAACTGACTTCCTCCATCTAATTTTTAATTTAATTCGTGATCGCTTAAGATATGATAATGTACGCCAACATTATGCCGATCAAAGAATTTTGCTAAATAGCACCGAATAAATGAGAAGATCGGACTAGAAGCGTCTAATTAAAAACCTAAAAAGTAGGTCTCTGTATAAATAAATAAATCGCGCCGACCAAAATAACAGCCCATTCAACGTTTAAGTACGGCCACTCTTACTTTTTCCATCCACAGTCGTGCATTTCGGTATTGTTAAACTTTGCACGGTAGAGTGGAGACCCATGCTCTACTTACCACGTTATGTAAAAGCGGTAATTGAGAGAATTTAGCGTTTAACATCACTGTGACTAGATGATTATGCAACTCCTAGACAGCAAAAAATCACCGCGGTTCGTTTGGATTGGTCAGGCACACATTTTGGTAAACGTAATGGTCTTATTAGATTTTTGACCGAACGAAATCGATTAAGTCTGGAAAAGAATTTGCTTATTTCTTTGCCGATTTGGGTCACCACCACAATGTTTTATTTAATAATGTAACTTATAAGTACTTTTTTTGACTATTTGTCTTAAAGAAATGTCTATATTTGCTTTAGATTATACAGTATATAATTTTCTGAAATTGTGTTTTTGTGGCATGTTCAAGTTAAATATTATGTTAATATGGGGTTCAGTCACAATTGATTGTAATGAAAAATATATTACCTGAAAAGCAAAAAATAGCAAAAAATAATATTTAAAAATGTTTGTTAAAGTGTATAATGGCCAAAGGGTATACAATTATCAATCAATTGTTTCTTATATATTAGGATATTAGTACAATAAGTACAATATTGTCAAGAAAAAGAACTAGTCATCACAAACACCTTTTATCAATTACCACCAAGAAGACTCTATACTTGGAGTGCACCAGGAGACAACAATAATAATCTGATAAGAAACCAAATCGATTACATTCTTGTCAACAAAACATTTAGAAATGAAATTAAAAGCGTTAAAACATATCCTAGTGCTGATGCAGACTCCGACCACAATCTACTTCTTGCCAACAATAATATTAAACTGATAAAACAACAAAAAAAAGTAAAATTCAGAGACTAGATTTGTCAAAGCTTGAGGGTGAAAAATGTCAACAACAAATAAATGAAGCAGTTGCACCAGCATTCGCAGAGGCGTCAAAAAAAGATATTAATAGTGCCTGGAACGAAATGAAATCGGCAGTACTTAACGCTGGTAAAACGTTTGTGGGTAAAAAAGAACCAATTGCCAAAAAAGACTGGATGACACCAGATATTATAAACCTCATAGAAGAAAAACGAAAATACAAAAATACAAATAAAGAGAAGTACAAGCAAATGAAGAAACTAGTAGAAACGCAGATTAAGGAAGCTAAAGAACACTGGATGGTAGAAAATTGTAGAGAAATAGAAGAACTTAATTTGAAATACGACACATATGGGCTACATAAGAAACTGAAAGAAACTACAGGAAATAATCGGAAGAGAATACCACAAGTTATACGATAAGGGGGATCTCCAATTATCAGCAGTAGAAAAACAACAAACTTGGGAGAAGTTTGATTGATAGATTCTACGCTACATTCTTTGTCAGTATCTGGCAAATAATATCATTATCCCTCCAGATACTGACAAAGAATATAGCGTAGAATCTTTTAAGTAATTTTAAACTGGTTGTCCTCGTTTTAGTGTAGTGTTTTGTACAATTTTATGTCATTATTAATGTGTCCACATTCTACGCTTGCCGGATAGTTTATATTTGACGAAATGCCCCTGAAGATGCTATTTTAAGCGAAAGTACTTGGGCTAAATTTAATTAACTTGTGCTCGATAATAGCCTTATTTTTCAAAGTTCATTTATTCGAGCATTCAATCTCATTTCAATCAAAGAAATCATAAGATCCACAAAAAAGATGATATATAGTTGGTGATGGGAGATTTCAACGCCAAGGTTGGAAAAGGAAAAGTGGATGGATGTGTGGGGGAATTTGGCTCGGGAGAAAGAAATGAAAGAGGGGACAGACTTGTCGAATTCTGCCAAAGCGAGGAGATGGTAATAATGCATATAAATTTTAAATTACCTAAAAGAAGACTTTATACTTTATACCTGCGGATTCAGAAGATAACATTGTTCGAAACCAGATAGATTACATTTTAATAAAATCTAGATATAAAAACGCTATAAAGTCTCTGAGAACATACCCCGGAGCTGACATAAATTCAGACCATAATCCATTAGTAGGCGTAATGCAGATAAAATTGAAGAATATCCAAAAACAAATAAATATACCACGGTTTGGTGTCTCAAAGATAAAAGAAAAACCTATACGTCAGAGCTTAAAACAAGAAATAAATGATAACTTAAAGAAAATCAAACAAGACGTGATAAAAACAACAGATGTTAATGACAAATGGAACATGGTACAGGAAACTTTAATAAAGGCAGGAGAAAAGCTACTGCAGACAAAAATAAGAAAAAAACAGAGATGGATGACTTCAGAAATCTTATATCTAATGGAGGAAAGAAGAAAACATAAAGGCAGGAGTAAGGCAAAATACAAGGAACTACAAAGATTGATAGGAAAGAAAATAAAAGAAGCCAAATCCACCTGGCTTGCTAATCAATGCAGTGAAATAGAGGCATATGTTAAACAGTACGATAGCTTTAACATGCATAAGAAAATATAGGAAATGACAAATACACTGAGAAAAAAGAAAGATGCCCTTCTGAAAGACGCAAATGGAAAAATCATTATAGAAATTAAAGAGAAATTAAAAAAATGGAGGCAGGATCCAAGGAAGAAGAAGCATAGGCAAAAGACGCATCTCCTGGCTGAGGAACCTTAGAGAATGGTTTAACTATAGTTCACTAGAACTATTCAGAGCAGCAGCCAACAAAGTGACCAAAGACCATAGCCGTTATGATATCCGATAGGAGATGGAACTTTAAAAAGAAGTAGTTCTCTATCTTTGTTGACTCTCCTTAGTCCTTCTTCATTAGTTTTCCTTGCTGTCCAAGGTATCTTCAGCTTTCGTCTATGAACCCACATTTTCAATGCTTCAATTTTGTTCATGATCGATACTTTTAGCGTCCACACTTACAAAAGTAAGTACGGACCAAATATAGCACTTAACCATTCTTTACCTTAGTTCTAAACTAAACTGAGATGGTTATTGCAAAGAAATGACTTCATTTTTATAATATTCATTTCATATTATCATTATCATCATTAAATAATCATCGTCATTAACACCCTAAGGGAGCATCGACCGAAATTCGCGTATCAATATCACCTAATTAGTAGTATTATTAGCACAAGTGTAAACGATCTCAATTGCAGTACATTAAATTTTGTAATAATAGATGTTTCCAGCAACTACAACGAGTAAATGTCCAGGTCAATGATTACAGTTTAACAAGCGATTATTATAGACATATAATTATATCGACAGTAGTCCGGCACTGCCATTTTTACACGACGCTTATTCATTAATAATTTTGTAATAGTTAATACACTAATTCCAATGCCGCTAATAGTAATTCACACAATGTAGGTATAATTTGGAATTGTGACGAGCGAACACGGTGATTGACCCCGTCACCCAGTTTCCTCAGACGATCTAAGGTTAAAATAATGCATCAGCGATGTAAAAAATGTTTATAAAATGAGTCAAATATCCTTAATAATTGATAGCCAAAGAGGCGGAATAGATTAGAGTGAAAGATAAAAGTTTACAAAAACTTCAAATCCATTCTTCCCTCACTCCAGGAAAACTTGTCTCCAGAGAAATTACAGACAAGACAACCAAAATGCCGTATCCAGTGGTAGTAGAATGAATTAACAATGTAATACCCTATCCCTATACAAACATCTTTAATTTAAACAAATCAGTTTAAGTACCGTGAAATGGGGTGTATAGAAACAGTCAGTTTCAATTGCAACAAAACTTTACAAAAAGTTCAAAAATGTGAAACTGTTTTATAAGGGAAGTTATATTTTGTTATGTTGGCATCGCTGTTTAAATTATATTGTTGACTGACTTTTAGCTGAAAAAAATGTTCATATTTTCATCCAAGAAAACTTCGCCTTATATAGTAATTATATTCTAATTATCTTAGTTTATTGCTTTAACAAATTGTTTTATGCACACAAAAAATAATAACTTGTGTTAAGAAAGTATTTTTTGGGTTATGTCAAGTTTTTGCAAAACCTGAAGTAAATAAAACAACATTTTTTTGTTACTTTTTACCAAGTATATGCCCCAAATATGCTGTCTCTCGCCTTTTAATGGTGGTCAAAAGTTCTCTTTCTCTTCCCATTCTGGGCAACACAATTTCTTTGTGTTCATAATGACTCAGGCCGAAAAGTGGTTATTGCTGGGAGGGGGTTAATCTGAAAGGATAATGAATTCCACAAAAACTTCTCTGATAGCTGGAGAATTGGGGACCGCCAAACTCCAGATACAACCAAACAAAGTCAGGATGGTTTGATTCTTATTGCCTTCAAGATTGGGCCCAGACCATAGCAATTTCTCAATTATCAAAACTCACTGGAGTAAAGATGTTTCTAGTTTCTAGCCATGAAGAGCACAGAAATTTCTTAGTTATTGAAACTTGATGGATTAAAGATCTCGTTAGGCGGCAACTTCAGCCAAGCCTCACACCTATTTGTAGAAGTCTGTAAAATTTGCCAAGAACATAACACTAGATTTGCTTTTTACCAAGAAACTCTTTTTTTTAGATGTAGTTGCAGTATATCTAACTCTGTTACTGGATTACTATGAGATGTTAGGAGAGCAGTATTATCTGCAGATATTTCAAACGTAAGGTAATTGCTTATTGATAAGTCAGCCGTATATAACAGGTACAAGATTGCTCCGAGCACACTACCCTTGGGTACACCATATTTGATGTGGGCTTCACTATACCTTACTAGATATCTTCTTTCTGTAAGGTATGATTTAAGCAGTTTGAAGTAAGTGTAAGGCAGGTTTTTCTTTAACTTGTACAGAAGTCCTGTATGCCACACCCTGTCAAAAGCTTGAGAGGCATTTAAAAAGGCTGCACTACAGTATTTCTTGGTTCGAGACTAGTTCTTATTGTTGTGTATAATCTGTGAACTTGTTCACAAGTATAAGACCCATTTTGTCCAATATTGGTTTGATTTTTTTTTTCAAAAACCTTTGAAATGACTGGAAGTAAACTGATCGGTCGGTATGAGTTGACATCTTTTAAATCTTTACCAGGTTTTTGAAATGAATATAATCTGTGCCACTTTCCATTGCAAAGGAAAGTAGTGCATATTTAACATAGCATTGTAATTATTCTGTAGCAATCATGGGCTAGTTCTTGAAGGACCTTACCTGTAATGTCATCGTATCCTGGCGCCTTGCTGGGTTTTATCTCATTTTTTATTATCTGTTTTACTTCATTAATATTAAATTGCGAGATTGGTCATCATCACAGTCATTAACAGCTTAGTAGATGTGTTGTGGTTCATAATTGGGCTTCAGCAGCTCGGACAGTTTGATTGATAATATTTCTCCACTGGTCGCTTTCATCAGTTATATGTATTGCCTCAGTATACTGTTTATTGAGAAGCTTTTTAGTAATGTCCGCCCATCGCTGTGGAGATCTTACGCGTTGGCGTTGAGTCTGAGGCCTTCCTTGGACCACCAACCGCTCCATTTTGTGATCACTTCGATGGATATGGCCAAAGATCTTTAAAATTCTAGAGTAAACGGTACTGGAGAGACGCTGATCCGGTTTAATTTTATCCAGAACCGAGATATTTGTACGGCGAGCCGTCCATGGAATTCGAAGCAGGCGTCTCCATGTCCACATTCCAAAGGCGTCTATACGTCGTCGATCTGATTCTTTGACTGACCATGTCTCGCATGCATAGTAAAATATGGAAAAGACCAGAGTTGAAACGAGTCTCTTTTTGTTTGTCATAGTAATGTGACGATCACGCCAGACCCCGTTTAGTTCACTCATTGCTGCTCTTGCTAGTTGAATACGTCTTCTAATTTCGGATTCACAACTGCTTGTGTTGTTAACTAGAGCTCCAAGATATATCATAGATGAGACTACCTCGCATCCCGCAATAGTTTGGGTTTCAGTAAACTGTTGTTGGCGATCAATAACCATGATTTTGGTTTTGTTGTAGTTAACCATGAGTCCAAATTTAGCACTTTCTACCTCGAGTTTTTTTAATAATTTAGTAATTTCTTCTGGAGTAGAGGCTAGAAGTGTAGTGTCGTCTGCGAAACGCAAGTTAGATATCTTAGCGAGATTGGTAGTTCCATGTAATATGGAGCATCATGAAAATAATGAAGTGGTTCTTCTTGTTATATGGGCACTTCTCTGGTAAATGAACTAAATACTTTCGAAAGATGTTCTGCGGATGTCTCGATTTTATCTGTATCTGTTCTTGCCCATTTAGCTTTGGCATTTTTTAAAGGAGGTATGGCGTCTTGTGACCCTTTAAATTTTCTCGTCGCTTTCCATTGTATCTTTGAACGGCGTCAGATTTTCTAGATAAGTTTGTATTCCCTTATTTTTTTCTTCTTTTAACAGATTTTTAAATCTTCTGGTAATTCTGTTTAGGTTTGCTTTATCAATAGGTGCGTGTGTGTTTTGCCACTTTCTCTTTAGTTTTCTTTTCTCTTCAATCAAGCTTTTTGCAATCAGAGAACAATTTATGTTTCCTTCCATATTTTCTGTTCAGGAATAGCTTTCCATCCTTTTGTATGGAAGTAGTAAGATATTGTACAGCACATTCAATTTGTATTTCTGTGTCGAGTGGCAAGTTCATTGATATTTCATTGATAAAACAAAATGTTCTAGTTTATTTGGTTATTGGTTAAGACTGGAGGCTTACTTCTAAGTATGACTTTAGGTCAATTAAAATGGGAGACTGGTCTAACGAAAGGTCCCACCATGATTCTATTGCCCAGTCAAATCTTAAATCATATTTTCACAGCACAATAGTTGAGATATGGAATAACAGATGGCACAAATAATCAGGCGAAATTACTTAAGATAAAACTATCATTTTAACCATAATCTGATAGTTCAACCAATCCTCATTTGATCACCACGCGACTAAGGCTTGGTTATAATCGCCTGTGGACATCTGATAACACAAGATCTCCAACCGGAGAATTACACAGTGCGGAAAGAGGCGAATTCGGAATCTCAAAAATTTCTTTGAAAGAAATATTCTTAGAGTACGGTGAGAAAATGGTTATTCAATATTTCAAAGCAATCAAATATTTAAACAAAATTTGATTGTTGTGCTATTCTACGGAGGTTAATATAAATTTTTTCGCTAATATTTATAGAGGCTGATGAGAGTTTGTATATAAAAAAAGAAGT